TAGAATGCGTCAAGCCACGTGGATTGGTTGAAAATCAATGAAATATCTTTGGAATCGCCACAGGAAGGACCACACGGCTCGCGCCAATGAGGATAGCAGGCGCTCACAAGCACCTTGGTTCTATTTGATGTAATATAATACTAGCTCGGGATAATTGCCTCCCGTTGCTTCTTGAAATGACCGGTGCGTGGAGGTGATCCAAAGTGGCGGCTGTTGCACTGTTGAACCAATGGCGATTTGGATTGGCTAAAATGATTGAAATACTATGATTGGCCGAAAAGAATAAGGTGGTTTTGGATTGGGCATTCTCCACTAAGTTCGGCCCCATACCCATGGAGCTTGGGCTGCCGCAGGACGACGTCGAGGTCGTCCGCGTCCGCAAGTGGCGCCGTGAGCTCAAGCCCATCGGACCCGGTGGCCACCTCGAGATTACGTCGTGGGTGCCAGAGGTCTCGGTACCGACGCTTGCCCTGCAGCAGTCGCGTCAACTGAACGCGGATCCCAAGGGGTCGTCGGCGACGACCAAGAAGAGTGCCAATGCGCGGAAGCGCGCCGCCGCAGACGGCTCGGCCGCGCGTATGACGCGTAGCCTGCGCCATAATGCAGGCAGCGGATCCGAGCTGTGGGGTCAGCTGCCGCCGCCATCGACGCGCACCGCCACGCGTGGCAAGGAAGAGAAGAAGCTCGAGATCCACATGGCCCTTGACCAAGGGCAGCATCACTACGACGTGGTGCCATCTTCGCACGTCTCGTCGACCGTGCCCACTGATACATCGGCGCCATCGTCCAAGCCCACGTCACCTGCCAAGGCGGCGAGCACCGCGACGACGCCGGCCGAGCCGGCGCTCTCGACCATTAGCAGCGTCGACTCGAACAATGACTTTCTGGCAGGCATGATCCCATACGACGGTAGCGCCGACGACGATGACGACGACGAAGGATACCGTACATTATCACCGAGCTCGTCGCCCGAGGTCTCGGCGTCGCCATCGCCAGCCGCGTCGCCCATTTAACGTTCTCTTCTATCTATTGCGTGAGCTTCTCGGCAAGGCGTTGCAGCATCAGCGTCTCGTCCGTCTACACAGAGAGCATCCCGTGGCAGACTCGATGGAGAATACCACCTACCGGCTTGGCGAACTTTGGGTTGTGCCGATACAGATACTTGGCCAAGTAGTCGAGGGGCTTGATCGGTAGCACAAGCTCGCCGTTGCACTTGCGCCGAATAGCGTCGTCGTGCGCGCGCAGGAGGCTCTTGAGCGCTATTACCACGACACTTCGCAAGCGATTCGACGCTACCCTCGGTCGCACCTGGGATCAAGCATGGCATGAGCTCGCGGACGAGGTACTCTTGCTCTTGCTGGTCGGCTTCCGCGCCGCCGCCGTGCACAAGCGAGGCCAAGAAGGCCTGTGCCAGCTCGTCGTCCGAGATCGTTGCCATCGCGTCAATTGAAACTGGCCTGTATTTTGGGCGGCTCGGCTTTCCGAAAAGGGGATCGTGTCAAGGTGGGCTCCCCAGCACCCCTTTTACGAAATGGACTTTGATGAATATTAATAAAATAACTGTGCGATGGACGAGGCCAACGTGTACACGCGGGACGAGACCGACGCCGACGTGCTCCTGAGCTCCGTGGGCCAGCAGGTCATGATGGCCTGGGAGCGAGACTACATGGAGCAGTGCGTGGAGCGCCTCGCCATCACGCCGGCAAGCGACGTCCTCGAGATCGGCTTTGGCCTCGGCTACTCGGCCACCAAGATCATGACGTATTCGCCCAAGACGTATACGATCATCGAGTGTGACCCAGTCGTCATCGCCCGCATCAAAGCATGGGCGCACAGCTATAGCAACGTGCGCATCGTGCAAGGCACGTGGCAGACGCAGCTGCCCGCGTTGCCCGGTACGTCTCCACCATCAACACATTTCGCTCATGGCCAGAAGCCTTCGATTGCATCTTCTTTGACGACTACCCACTGCCGCAGAACGAGCGCGATGATGCCAGCCATACGATCTCGCGGTGCAATCGCTGGCTTCCTATCCTCCGCTGACCAGAGGACGTAGCTGGTACGAGTTTTTAGACCTCGCGCTCAACTGGCACACCAAGCTCGATGGTCGCATCACGGGCTACCTCGCACGACCACTGAACCTCGACCGTCCTGGCTGTACGGTCTCGCTGCGGCCGATGCAGGTACTTTCCTGCGCATCCTTGTGTCGCACGGACGCCATTGTTGCTATGTAGGTCGACGTACCAGCCCACTGCTCGTACTTTCCGTATCAAGAGGCGCTGGTACCGCTCATCACCCGCTGCGAAGAGGTGTCACCACAGATCACCGCCTATGGCCTTCCGACGCGCGGCGGCGTCGGTCCCGTGGCCGTCACACACCCCAAGCTCATTGCGCTGCGGTAGCTGTCCCACCTATCCCCTCGTTCCGGTATCCTCATTGTCTTGTCTAGTCGTCAGCTCGACGCGCAAAAGCACGTGGAGGCGACTGCATCCAGCTCAGCGCCGCCTGAGGCATCGCCTTGCCGTTCGCGCGCCGATACATTGCGAGCGCTTCGGGAGGCCAAGGCCAGAAAGAACGCCGCATCGACTGCATTTGCCGCTAAGTCGGGTTAAACTTGACATAGACGCGCTTGTAGTGCTCACTCGGGGCCGTGGGGAGCCCAAAAAAGCGATCGGCGCGCCGCGACGGATCTACGACGACGCGTCACGTGACCCATGCGATAGGCAATCGCGCGTCCTACCTCGCGGACGCGAAATGGGCTGTTTAAATATGCGCAAGTCGGCGTGCGGCGGCGCCGAGGCTTTGCGGATGGGTGCTGGCTCGGACGATTGTCGCCGGCTAGGGCGGTAGATGCTGTCTTTATCAAAGCGGCCGTCGCCGCGCCGCGGTGGCACATACGACAGCTTCTTCCTCGCCGAGAAGATTTCCTTGTACGTCTCCCATTGGTTCGAGAGCGGAGGCACGGGCGACGTGCACGGAAACCCGTACCGCGTTGGCTTGCCGCGCGTGGGTCCAAAGGCCCGTGGCGGCGAGGTCGGCGACGACACCGGTATAATGTACGCGGACTGGTGGGGAGAGAGCGGTGCCGACTGGTTGCGCTCGTGGTCGTTATGGACGCGGCACATGAAGGTCGGGAGCTGCCTTCGCCGCTCAATGTAGGCGAGGACGAGGCGGTCGACGAGGCGGCGCAACCGATCGACGCGGTTGTAGAGAAAGCGCAGGCGGAGCCGGAGGTGGGCCGGCTCGCGCGACTTGGTCTTGAGCGCAATCGGAAAGTACTGTGTCGTCCGCTTCTGCTCCCAGAGCGTCCGGAGCTCGATCTTGGTTTCGCCGAGCACTTCGTGGCGGTCCGACGCCTTCTTGTCGTCCATGATCGTGACGACGAGCCGCGTTGACATGGACTCGATTGGCGTAAACACAAAGTCCTCGTCCCAGACAGGAAAGAGGGTGTTGGCGCGCGTGTTGCTGCGAAAGGCCTTGGTCGGGTGGTCGCGTTCCCACGCCCCACTGTCCCTACACCCGAAAGCGTCGGCCCATTGTTCCGTTGCGACTCGAGTCGATACCGGTTTTGGTGTTCGAGATGCAAGAGCGCATATGGGTCGCACGTGGCGCTGAGCCGGCGGGTGCACGGAAGGTTCGTCGCCGAGAGAAGCGTGACCTCGAGCCGGCTCTGGAGCCGCTGCGTCGCCGGATCGACGTCCATGCGCGTCGCGGACTCGGCGCCTTGCTGTCTCTCGGCCCATTGGAGCTTCTTGCACGCCAACAAGAGCCTAGTATATCGTGTCTTTAGTGCCAAGAGGGGTAGGGGAGGGAGCGGACTTTGTATTTTCGTCCAGCGCGAGCTGGCTCTTGCTGTTGAGCTGCGCAAAGGTGGGGGATGGCATCGAGGTGCCTGCTTCCAATTGAAACTTGGACTGGTACGTGAACGTGACGTTGACTTTGTGTGGACTCGTCACTTGATTGTTGCTTTGGGTCTCCAACACAATGTGCACCGGCTTGTTCTCGCTCGCGTTGTTGTTGTTGGCGAGCGTGATGTGGTGCGGCGAGCCCGGCTGATGCGAGAGGAGCTGGCTCACGTGGGCAAGGACGTCGTGCTTGAGGCGCTCGTACATGCTCGAGGCGTCCGTCGGAGCGACGCTCTCGGGGCCGTCGTTCTTGTGCGCTGGCGACAAGGCGTTTGCAATGCAGTCGTAGCTCGAGTCGGGGCAAAAGGGCAAAATGTTGTGCTGGACGTTGTGAAGCTCGGCAACAATCGCCTTGCGCTCTTCTTGGAGCACCTCCCACTGCGTCTCGTGGCCGAGGAGGAGGTCGCAGAGCTCGAATCGGCGCTCTTGGAGGCTATGGAGCACGGCCAGCTTCTCACTCACCAGCATCCGGTTCAGTGGGTGTTGCTGGCCACTACTGGGGCTCACAACATCGTGTTCCGTCTCGTCCATCTCGCCGTTTCCGACGCGGTTGTGTCTGGGAGACACTGCCGAAACGAGTCGCGGAGCAGGTGGCGGGGACTGGGCTGGACGCGGTATCCTTCGTGGAGCTCCTTGAGTCGCAACACTGGCGCCTACCGTGCAATGCATCAAGAAGACCGTCTCTCTACGAATGTGAACCTTGGGAAGGCGCTCTAGCTTTTGCAGCTCGTCGGCCCACTCTGCTTTTTGCGTCGTGATACGCTGGAGCTTGTGCGTGAGCGCCGAGATCTCCTTGTCAAACAACACGTAGTTCTTGTCGACCATCGCGTGCCGCGTGTACTGGAGGTCGGCCTGGAGCATCTCTTTTGTTTTGGCGACGAGCCGGCGCTCAATCTCGCTCGCCTCGGCCGTCGCCAGCTCGATCTGCGTCTGGAGCTCACCGGCGCGCGCGCTGCCGTCATCAAAGTAGTATTTCGGACTCTGCGGTGGCGCCGGCGACTAGGATGGATATTGTCGTAGATATCGAGAGCGATTTTGGTACCTGGGCCAAGTGGAGCCGATGGACGTCTTGGTCCTTGAGGAGGGACTCCTTGACCGTAGAAATCTCTTGGTCCACCGCGACGATCTCGTTGCGGAGAGCGAGCATCGACGCCTCCAATTGACGGGTTTCATCCGCCATCGAAGCCTCGGCCGCATGCAGCGACTCGATCTTCTGGAGAAGGTACTCGCGGTTGAATTCTGCACCCACCGTTTGGTGGACTTTGTTGTCTGAAGGCGACGCCTTGTCGTCCGTGGCAGTCGCACTGCGCTGTTGCTGCTTCAAGTGGAGAAGGCGGAACGGGTCGTGGGTCGACCGCTTATCAATGTGCACCATGGCGAGTTCTTGCTGGAGCTGAAGGAGCTGTTCGGTGGCGGCCGACCACTCCTTCGACTTGTTGGTGAGGAGCGCGGACTTGAGTTGCAACTCGTTCTTGAGAAGGACGTTTTCAGCTTCCAATGTCGCGCGCTGCGCCTCGATGCTAGCCCAAGGTTACACCGACACGTTGGCAGTACGACGCACCCGCACTGGTCGGCGTAGTGCTTCTTATCGACGGCTTCGAGCTGCTCGTCGAGCGAGAGCGACCCACTAAAGCGCTTTCGGCTCTTCTCGCGCTCCCGGTCCGTAATCTAATACATATGTCGTTGACCGAGGATCGATCCGACGACCTCGCGCACCGTCGCGAGGTCCAGCGACGTGAGGCCGGGCACGGTGAAGACGACATAGTCTCGATAGCTCTCGAGCTGTGCGATAGGGTTGGCCGTCAAAAGCACCTATGGAAGGCGTCGACTTTGCTTGATCTTTCTCCAGTCGTACCTTGTGGAGGTTGCTCAAGGGCGCCAAGATATCGACCTGCTTGAGAATGGTGAGAGTGTTGCCCGAGAGGTCGAGCATCTGCAGCCGCGGCAGCTGCCCCAGGCTTTTGGGCAGCTGCGAGATGAAGTTGCCCGAGAGATCCAACGTTTCCTAGACGCGACCTTCGTTTGCATGCATGCACGATAGTGTATGCGTACCAAGTGCTCGAGCGCCGGGAGCTTGATGGCCTTGATGCTGTTGCGCGCAAGGTGCAGTGAACGAAGCTGCACAAGTGCGTCGAGCCCCTCCATCGACACGAGGCCATGCCCACTCAAGTTGAGGTGCACGAGGCTCTGAAAGGCATGCAGGCTCTCGATGGACTTGATCTTGACCTGGCCTTTCTTTGGCGACTGCCCCGGCGGAAGCTCGAGCGCGATCGAGGTCACGCTAGCAGGGTCGCTACCCCCGCAAATGTAGTGCCGTACCGCGCTATAATGCACACCACCCTATATGAGCGATCATGACATCGCTGATCGTACTCGTCGATGGCTGCTGTCGCGGCCTCGATCGTCACGCCACCCTGGAGACTCGCGCGCGCAGGGCTCTTGATCGTCGGAATCTTGGAGGGATTTCTGGATGGGATCTCTATCGTGAGGCCGCGCGGCCGCGGCGCCCGGCGCGTGATGCCGAGCCCATCGCTCGGCGTCGCCATCGCGTGAGTGGCAACGGTTTCGGCTAAAAAGGGCGGGATGAAACCTCGCATCCGGATAAAACACCATTGACAATAGTGTCCACAAAACAGACAATATCGATTGCACGCAGACATCGCGCGACCACATGCCGTGCTTGCAACGAGGCCGTGCGGTCATGGTCACAGGTGCGCGAGAACTCGGTGCAAGGTGGGACAAGTTGAAGTACACTATTTCCAATACACAACACTATTCCCACGTCGTTGGATCTTACAAGCATGGGGCTCCGCCACATCGTGCGCTGCATGGTCCAAGCTGCGATCGGCATCGTGTGGCTTCACGCGGTCGTCGAGCAGCTCGATGCGCACGTGCACTTGGGCCTCAAGCCGAAGCTACAGACGCTGACCACCGACGTGCGTCACGAGCTGCACAGGCTGTACCAAGTTCACATCGCCCGCCCGGCGTACGTCCAGCGCGAGGTGCAGTTCTCGGACGCTTCGGTCGTCGACCATTGCCTCTCGCTGCGCCGGCTCGAGCATGCGACGGCCGAGCTCTGCGCGATCGCCATGTGACAATAACGCAGCCTACACTTATTCGCACGTGGCCGCCGTCGACTTCGCCGCCGCTCGTCTAGAGGCTAGCGCTCCATTTGTCTTGGAAAGTGACGTGGCAACATGGACGTGCATGCGCCATCATCATTGTTGTTGCGGGTGAAAGCCAGGCACCAGCCAGTCGTTAGCGTGGGCCTGTCTGCGGGTAAAAACACTCAACTCCGCACCGACGCGAGTGTGGCGTCTCTGCACAACAGCGCAGGCCAGTTGCGTGATTTTATCGCTTGCAGTTCGGTTTGTCCGGATTGCATCTGAGTTTATCCGGAAAACGATTCCGTCATGAGTTTGGGCGTTGGTTCCTCATTTTCGCGGTCGGCCAAGCGACGATGGAGGTAGAGGCCGATACGAGGAACATGGCTCATGACGGACGTAGCACGCCAAGGACATCGTCCTCGATGGCCATGAGCCATCGACCTTCCTGTGTCATGGCTGGCTGCCCGGCGTGGCCGAACTTCTCGGCCAAGCGACCTTCCGCACGCTCCTGCAAGAGGCGCTGCCCACGCCTGTACGATGCCATCTCGCATTGTCTCGAGCCTCATGCGGCGATGTATTGCTAGGCGCACTTGGCGGACGAGTACCATCCACCACACTTTCATCCTGCTAGCATCGGTCTCAACTGGTCCGACCACCGCAGCAGCATGGATGTGGAGCTTCTCGAATGCATCTTGTTCCGGAGACGATCCGCGTTCTTGTCGACGCTCGTGACGCCCAAGCCACCGACGATTGTCGACCCGGACCAGCCGCCGCTCTCGAGCATGGAGAAGCGCACACAGGAGGGCGCGGCCGTCTTTTCGCCATCGAACATGGACCAGGAGCTCGTCGACGAAGAGTCTGTGTACATTGGCCAGAGCATCCTCCTCTCGCTTCTCGTGTCCCAGCACTGCCCCGAGTCGTTGCGCGCGACGCTCACCGACGTCTTCTCGACACACTGTAAGACTCTCTGCGAGACACTGGTCAAGCTTCTTTCGTCACCGTCGACGACGTGGAGTCCGATGCTGTTTCTCTCGCTCCTCGGCGGTCTCCTCATGCTCATGGACGCACCCGAGCTCGTGCTCTCGACGCGCATCGCGCTCGATGCGATCCCGCTCCTCGGCCGACTGCAGGCCGCGATCGTCGAGAGTGGCGTCGCCGAGACATGTGCACCATGACAAGCGCAAGGTCGACGACAACAGCGTCTTCCATCCGCTCAAGCGCCAGCGCACGACGGCGCCGTACAGCGGCCGGCCGGACGAAGCGCCGAGTAGCAGTAGCAACCACATGAGCTTTGCGACCGCCGTCCAGATCATGCTTGACAGCGTCGAGAGCACGATGGCCGGCCCGACCAGCGACCTCGGGCTGCAGCACTCGTACGAGTCGAGCACGGCAGGCTTGCGCTCCGAGGACATTGACTGCGTGCGCATGATCATGCTCTATCTGAACGTGTCGGGGCAGACGGCCAAGCAGCTCTTGCGCGCGTCCAAAACGGCCAGCATGATTCTGCCGTCGTCGGTCTCGATGTTTGCCCAAGTCATGCTGTACGTGGCGACGCACCCGAGCCATTTGCCGCTCATGCAAATCGAGATGGAGATGGAGTGCATCAAGATGAGTCTGTCGCTGTTGTTTGAACTTCAAATGACGATTACGGCCGTCGAACACCAGGAAGAGCCCGTCCAGGTACGTAAACACATGAAGGAGAGCGATGGTGCAAGGCGACGCGTAGGTGCTCCACGAAGACGTGCATCAAAAGCTGATGCGCTGGAAGGGCGCGATGGCCGTCCTCCTCTCGCTCGGCTGGACGATCAACACATCAGGGTGGTACCGGCTCGAGTTCTTCAAGGTCCCGCATGGTGTGCCGCACCTCCAAGACGCCAAGCGGATGCTCACCAAATACATTGCGATCTGCGAGCTCCGACTCAAGCAGCTCAGTGACACCCACGCGTATCTGCACCAGCAGCAGCAGATCCGTCTCTCCAAGACCGAGGTACATCGCTTTCTATCAAAGAATCAAGAGACCACCCACCCATGGTAGTCGCCCGAGATGGCGTTTGCGTGCCCGTGGACCGCGCACACGTTCCTCTCGGCGAACGAGCTCGTCGACCATGTCACGCGCGTCGAGCCATGGCTCCGGACCATGGTCTACACCCGCTTCACAAGCTCTTTTGGCAGCCGCCGTCGGCCCACGGCACCTTTTCGGCGACAACGTTTCCGAGCTATTCGAGCTGCCGCCACGAAGTGCTCGCGTCGGTCGGTCCGTCGCCGGCGTTCTTCTGGCACCAGTTTCTCCAACACGTAGCCCATGTACAGACCCGGCTGCAGGCGCACTTGGTTCAGCTGCCATTGCCGACGAATGCGCTTTCGTTTGACTGCCTCCATGTGGTGCCGCTCACGCCGTCTCACGACGTTGACTATACGCTCGCGGCAGTATACCCGACCGAGACGCGGCTCGTCCAAGCACTCGCGCCGCCGTCCAAAAGCTCATCGAGCGACGCGAGCCAGTTTCTGCGGGCGCTCCAGGACGGCACCCTCTCGGACATGATGGAGAAGTGGCTGTGCGCGATCCGTGGCCCGCTCCGGCGCCAGACGACGTCCGGCGTTGCGCGCGTCGAGCGCCTCGTGCTCAGCTTGGCGCTGATGCTATCGGACGCAGCTGTCGCTGGCATCGAGCACTGTTTGGGTGACGCGCGATTACAACCCGTGTTGGGGCCGTGGCGTCAGTTTTGCATGTGGCTCGAGCAGCACGCGCAAAGCCAGCCATCTTCGCTCTCGAATCTCGAGGCATGGTGCCTCTTTTTACATCAGATCTGGGTCGGGCCGTCCATGGCGCTTTGGACGCAAGAGCCATCGACGACGCATGCGCTCGCCTCACTCTTTGAGTTTTTGCGCGCGATGGCCGACACGCCGCTCACGCTGCCACTGCGCCAAACCGTCCTTATGCAGCGCCGCGTCGTCTGGCTCCAGCTGCTCGGTCTGCACTTGCTTGCAGCGTCTTCGCCGGCCGTGCCCGGCCACACGCGTGCGTTGCATGTGCTTTTGGATCTATGCCATCGCCCGACGCGACTTCAACGCGCGACCAGCCGCGGCTGGCACCACCTCGTGCTGCAGTCGCAACAGTGGTCGCTCCCTCCCAATGCGGCGCCACTGCTGCACTGTTTATGGCAGCAACCCATTGCATCCGTCTCGCCATTGCGTCGTAATCCATGCCAAGAAGGTGCGTTGCGCTTGCTGCTGCAGACGCCGATGCCAAACGAGGCGACGTGGGCGTCGGCGCTGTCGATGGTCGCCGCGTCGAGCCCCGAGAACGTTGACGTGACGCAACTCGTCCTCGACTTTCTCGGTCGCGTGGTCGACGATGCAAGTAGCGTCGAGAAGGCGACAGCGCTTGCACGCATTGCGCTGGCCTGGCTGGCGGTACCCGACGTGACAAGCCAGTGGCGCGACGCGATCGTCTATCCGCTCTTGGCGCAACTCCCGCGATGGCCGATCACGACACAACGCCAAGTGCTCTCGCTGTTACCGACGGTAGTACGGCACCTGTCGCCGGATCCGCCGGTGGTCCAGTTTCTCTTGTGCCTCGCCGCGTGCCAGGAAACATGCGATGCGCCGCACCCAACGTTTCTTAGCGGTCGTGTTGTCCTGAACGATGGCTCTGTCTACAGCGACCCGTCGCTGTCGTTCCAGGCGCTCGACGTGCTGCGGCAGCTCTACGCGTCAACGCGCTGGGTTGCATGCGTGCGCGACGCCCTCGACACTGCGCTATGGGGTGATGTAATGGACCACGCCAACGCCATGTCTCAACTGATGGCGCTCGGAGCGCTCATGCTCGCAACGACCGCCATCTCGCCGTCGTACGCGCTGTACCCGGGCCAGCGCGTCGCTGCCACGCCGACCGATGACGCATCCATTGAAGCGCTGAGCCAGGCACAGGTCAACCGCGGCGTTCTCCTTGGTCTGCGCGTCGATCCGCAAACGTGCCGCGCGTCTGCGTCGTGCCTCTTTCTCTCGCGGTCGGTCGCGTCGCTCTACTACACGACGCAGTGCTCACTGGGGCTGCTGGCGCTGGCTTCGCCGCTCCTCGCGTGTCTGCCGAGTGACCTCTCGAGTCATTGCGCACGCGTCGAGCGGCAACTCGAGGTCGTGCCCAACGTTCTTGCGACGCCAGTAGGTCTCTGGTTGCTCCACGCCCTCTGCACGCTCCTCGATCTCGGCCATCTCGACAAGCACAAGTGGACCGCGTGGCTTTTGGAGATCGCGGTGGCGCCGTCGACGATTCCAGTGCCGGCGTGCGTGCAGTCGTGTTTGGCGCTGCAGCCGCCGACGTACTGGCAGGCACAAGGCGTGTACCGGTCGATGGCGGCCGAGTGTGACCGTGTCGCGCGACTCGTGGCGACCACGGGGTCGTCGCCATTGCTGAGCGGATTACGTATGCACCCGCGCCTGCCCGACGTGGCCGACGCCTCGTTGCCGCCGACGTCGGCGACGCGGTTGCCGATCGATGACATTTTGACGCCGACGCTGCTGTCGCGGCTCTCCAACACGCCGCCTTCGATCGCCGACTCGGACGATATGGCGCGCTTGCTGAGCATGGGCTGGTCGGCGCCGATTTGCGCGTACGTGCTGCGGTACTATCCCGGCAACTTTGATGGCGCGCTGCAATGGTTGACGTACGAAGGCAACTCGGAGGACGTCCACCGACTCCGTGTGACGGGCGCGTTGGCCCCACCGGACCCACCGCTCGTGCCACGTATGCGTCCGGAGCTCAAGAACGCACTCCTCGCGCCGTACGGTGAAAGCAATGGCGACGAGACTTTTACCACCACGTGCCGGTCGTCGACGCGCTGCGACAAGTGCCACGCGAGTGCTTTGTGCCGCATTTGTACCAAAAGGACATCGAGGTCGACGCGGCGGTGCAGCACCCGCTCGGGTACACGGTCCCCAACATGGCTCAGTGCTACCAGCTCGTGCACGCGCTCGACGTCAAGCCAGGTGCGACGCCCGCACGCCGCTCGTGACTCATGCTGTGTGTGCGTAGGCCTCTCGGTGCTCGACGTGGGCACGGGCTCGGGGTATTTTGCGACGCTGCTCGCCCACCTCTACGGCGACCGGCTGCGCGTCACGTCGTGGGAGCGCGACGTGCATCGCTTGGCGTACGCGTATCTGCACATGGCGCGCAGCGTCCACAGCGAGCCGCTCCGGCGACCCGCGTTCTTTGATGCGATCGAGTTTCGCGTCTGCGATGCGTTTGCGCCGACCGACGACTGCCGCGGCGCTGTGTTTGACCGCGTCCACATTGGCGCGTCGTGCCCGCGCGAGAGCGTTCAGCTGCTCTTTGAACTTGTGGCCGACCACGGCGTCATGGTCGTCCCCATTGACGGCACGCTGCATCGTATTGAAAAGACGGCGCGGCACTGGCACGACTGCCGCTGCCTCGTGCTGGGCGCGCTCAGTATTGAGAGTCTGGTGGCGCCGTCGGTCGAGCTCCTCGCGCGGGTGACGCCGACGCTGCAGCACCATGCGGTCCAAGTCGCCCAAGGCCTCCATGCATTTGAAGAGCGGGCGAGCGCCGAGAAGCCGCTCGTGCTCAGCTGGAATGCCGAGGACCCGTACGCAGTCGGCTCGTCGCCACACACGTTGTGGTGTGCGCCGCTTCTGACGCCGGGCATGGCCGTGCGCGTGCAGTCAGAGACAAATGAGCTCGTCCAGCGTGGTCTCTCGGACGCCGGCTTTGTCGTTGTCCGACTTGGTGGCCCGCGCTGCCAGCTCCAAGAGCTCTCGATGGGCGTCAAGATCAGCGACGCATCGCTCAAGGTCCGCGCCTCGTCCGTTTGAAATGAAAGGCAACGTCGTCGTCGTGGGTGTGTAGGTGTCGAATCGAGGCAGCTTTGGCACGGCGTGCGCCAACGTGGCCGTGCGCGGCGGTGGGCGCTGGTTTTACGAGATCCGCATTGGCACCTCGAAAGTGATCCAGATCGGATGGGTCCTTCCCGGCTTTGACCCGAACCCCGAGAGCGGCCTCGGCGTTGGCGACGACGCGTTCAGCTACGCGTACGACGGGCGGCGCAAGAAAAAGTGGTTTTGCGGTCGCAACGAAGAGTACTGCAAGCAAATGTGCAAGGCCGGCGACGTGGTCGGCTGTCTCTTGGACCTCGATGCCGGGTACGACGACTCGAGTGTATCGTGGATGGATCCTTGATTGCTGTAGGACGATGACGTTTTACCTCAATGGCGTCTCGCTTGGTGTGGCCTTCTCGGGCCTCGAACGCGACATTCTGCACGGCGGCTATGCGCCCGCTTGCTCCATGGACGGCGGCGAGTCGGTGTGGTTCAACTTTGGCGCGACCCCGTTTCTGTACCCGCCACCGCCGTCGCCGCCGTTCTGCGCCTTGACGCACTTTACGTACCCACCGCTACCGACGCCATCGACGTTGCCGCTTGCGATTGTCGAGTCGGTCGATCGGGACGCATGCCGCGTCGTGGTCCGTGCCAACGACGTCGAGCACGTCGTGCCGCTGGAGAGCGTCCGGCCGATCGACGACCCACTTGCGTCGTGGATCCCGCCATCGCTTGCCTCGAGTGACTTGACGTCCATCCAACGATCCTTGGTACAGCACGAAGCGATCGCGGGTCTGCGTTACTGGCTCTTGACGTCGATGCGTCCGTCGCTGCGCCTTGCCGACCAAGCGCGGCTGCTGGAAGTCACGTCCGAAGGCCGTGTGTGCCCGCAGCATCTCTGCTTGGACAACTTGTGTGACGACGACGCGTCGTGGATGCGCGAGACGATGACGTCGCAGCTGCAGCAGCGTCACGTCCCCGACATGATGGTCGTCGAGGCGTCGCGGCATCCGCTGAGCACGCGGCTGATTGCTGTCTCGGTCAACGTGTCGAGCTGCCTCAAGATGATCCGGACGCACCTCGGCGACGTCGACGCGCACTTGGAGAAGGGTCAGACGCGCGCAGCGTTTACGTTGCTCCAGCGCATCACGGACGTGGTGCTGGAAAAGACGAATCGGGAGAGTGGCGACCATTTGCAGCGGTGCCGACTCGCCCTCGACAAGGTCTACCAAGCCATCCGCACGGCCGACATGAGCTACCACCACGAGATGAATCTGCACTTGGACCACTTGATCTCGCTCGAGCACCGTCGCAACCCGCGGCCGATGCTGGAAAAGGTCATGGAGCTCAAGAAGGCCCTCCAGACGTTTGAAGAGCTGGTCGCGCCCACCTCGATCGTGCCGATCGAGACGGTCCACGGCAAATACGTGGGTACGCTTCCTCAAAGTTTTTGGAACGAGGACTCTTTTCTCACAGAAAAGGGCTAGGGATTGCGTCGGCCACCTCGCTCCTCGTCGAATTCGACACGCGGACGTCGCGGTCGCATTGGAAGCTCGTGTTTTACGCCGATGCGGCGTGCACGCGCCGGCTGCCGTGGGTCCTCTCGCGCGACGGTCTCCGACCATTTGTCGTGCCCGCGAGCCACTTTTACTACTCGTTTGTGCCCGACTTGGCCGCCAACATGACGTCCGAGTGGGGCTACGCGTTCCGCGTGACGCCGTATCGCACGTCGTCGCCGCCGCTCTGGGCGCCATGGCCCGCCGACGCGCGCCTTTTCCATGGCAACTTGTCGTCGAGCACAAACCTGGTCGAGTGGCTCCAGACGGCGCTGGTCTACTGCCGCATGCCGGGCGCGCGACTCAAGGAAGATGTCATGGCGTGGGTGCTACGCGTGCTGCCGTCGTCGTTGGACCCGACATCGACCAAGCCGCTCCTCGAGCACTTTCTCTACTGTGCCTTGCCCGAGCTCAACGTGCTTTTTCGCGACTCGGTGCGCTGGCAGCTGCACAACAATCGGTACTTTCAGATGCTGCTGCAACTCTGCACGTCGCTTCTCGCGGCGCTGCCGTCGTACGCGCCGCCGTCCTACAGCGTCGAAGCGTTTGGGTACCACGCCGAGGTGCACCCGTGGCACGCCGACCTCGTTGCCACCGTCGACGGGCTCCGGCAACTGCAAGTGGCGCATACGGTCGACGTCGCGCGCTGGCGACCGGTCGTCGAGAGCCACTTTCACTCGCTTCGAGTGCTCAAAGAGGCGCTCAAGCAGTTTGAAGCGTCCGTCAAGTCGGACGTGCAGCGCTGGCACAAGAACCGGCGCGAGTGCTGGCTCCGCCAAGTCGAGCAGGCGTACCACCCGGCGCTGCTCGCGCCGCTGCTCTGTGTGTTTAATGATACGCTCTCGGCGAGCTCGCGCGACGGCGGGTGGGGCTCGGAGAAAACAAAGTGGCTGCGCAACGTGCACGCAGCGTGTACGGTCGGTACGTCGACGATGGATGCGCGCTTCCCACGCTCATGTGGTTGCGATCGTAGGTGCGATCGCACGGCAGCTGCTCGTATTGGCAGGGTGCATCGACACGGACGCGCACAGCCCCGCGTGGAGTTGCCAGAGCTACGATTGGCGCAAGGCGGTGGTCAACCTCACCAAGGAACCGTTCCTCGCCGACACGCTGCTACCGGCGGCGGCGATTTGGTGCGATGGAAGCCTCTTGCCGGACGTGGCCGAGTCGTCGCCGCGCGCGCAGACCATCTTTGAAGACAACGCCAAGCTCTTCCGCGTCCGGGAGGCGCGCAATGTGCACGTGCTCGGGTCGTTTGAGGATTTGGTGCTGCTTCGGAAGCTCAGCATTCGCATTCCGAAAAAGTACTCGAACACGCCGGTCGTCGCCGGCCTTGTCTTTGTGTACCACGAGAATCCCACCGCCCATGACATGGAGAAGCTCCGCGAGTACGACCACTTTACGAGCGACAAGTACGAGGCGTACGTGACGGCGATGCGTCAGCAGCAAATGATTCCGCTGCCGGTACATTACACAATCTCCTCTTTTGACAGAAGGATATATATACTCGGTGTAGGGCGACCCGATTGGGTACTTTGACGTGGGCTCGCCCCACTTTTTGCAGGGCAACAATGTCATTACCGTCGTACCCGAGTTTGCTATCATGGGACGCGTCGTCGTCATCAAGCTTCTTCGTTGCTACAACATCCGGGCCATGGAAGGTAGAGAGACATTATTGGCACTTGAAGCTACATAGTTATTGCTGTGTAGATTTGGCCGACGCGGTCAAGCGGGACGAAGAGCACGGCGGGCCGAAAGACCGCGCGCTGCACAACCCCGTGTACCTCTGGTGCTACAAGCCGCACGAGGAGGTAGCGTCGCCTATTGGTTGGACGGTGGGATGACAACATGCTGCTATAGTGGCTTGCGTACCCGCTGGACGTCGAGTACATGCTCGAGACGCAGTACCAAGCGTACTGCAGCGGCGAAAGCTTGGCCAGCCACGCGGACAACATTGTCGTCGGCTGCGACCACGTTGTCGTGGACTTTACGCGCATGCTCATGCAGACACCGAGCGGCGACGAGCTCAACAAGATGTCGACGCTCTGCCGCGTTAAGCGCCTCGTCGTGTCGGTGGATCTCAAAGTGAAGCTCACGTCGCACCATTCGATGGAGGTCGAGTACGTCGGTCTCTACGGCCTCGCGGGCCAGGTACGCTCCGAAGAATCCTGAAGACGAAGAAAGGGCGACCGCGCAATGGCGTAGGCGGCCCAAGATGCCTACTCGTCCTGGACGCTGCAGTACCACAACAAGTTTACGAATGCGATGACGGCCAGCGCCCCGAGTGGCAGCGACCACGAGATCTACCGCGTCTTGAGCGAGAAGGCGCCCGTGTACGGCTTCCCGACGCTCTCGGCCTCGATCGCATTCCATGTCTTGTATGGCGAGACCGTCGTCGTCTCGCGTCGTCTCGGGCGCTGGGGCCGGCTCCTCCAGCACCCGGCTGCGCCGGACGCGTGGGTCCTCCTCGACTCGCACCAGCCGTCCTTCTTTCGGATACCGCGGGCACAGGCCGCCGCCCACGCCGCCGTGCCTTGGCTCCTAGGTCCGTGTACTGTTATGTTGCGGCTCTTGATGGATGCTGTCTAGATGTGTTTTGCGTGGCGCCCGCCGGCGATGCGTACAAGGGTGTCATCGTTGCCGACCTCCCGCACTTTGTGAGCACGACGCTCGTCGACGTCGTCAACAAGTACGGCTCCGCTCCCAACATGTTGTTTATAATGATGACATGGTGTAGACTGCGCGAGGTGCGAGGGCGCTGCGCACTGAGCCTTGTTGCCAACGACGTGAGTCAGTTCTTCGACTCGGACGCGGGTCGCGTCGCGAGCCAGAGCCTCCAGTCGTTCCCGCTGCCCGTGCTCATGGGTCGTCTGGACATTCTCCGGCACCTCAACCAACGCCTCGTGCCGTACGTGATGCTGCTCGGGATCGGCTCGACGCTCTCAACGCAGCACCCCACGTGGCTCGCGGGGCTCGTCACGCACGCCAAGAGCCTTCTCTTTCTCGAGACGAAAATGGCCGTTTGGAAGGTACTACTCCTGCCACTCGACTCGGGCGGCACGACTGGATTCGAATTGGGATAGAAAATCTGGAGCGAATCGTACAGTCTCGAGCGGTCGTCCGAGGTGGTGAGCATCAACCGCCACATTGCGTTCAAGGTGCGACCCGAGCTCATGGCGTCGCGGTCGTCGCTGGACATGGATCGGCTCCGAGATGCATACGCGTCCACGGTCTTTTGCCAGCTCTTTGACGAGCTTCGCCACACGCCACCGGCGCTGCTGCGACGCAACGACGGCAAGTCGTGGTTCACCAAGTTCAAGGGCGAGCCGTCGATCGACGATGGCGGTCTCTACCGCGAAACCAACGCGACCGTCGTACGCATTCGAATCGCCCATTCGATTTATCTCGTCGGCTCATACCTTGGTAGTGCTACGAGCTCAACCACGGACTCGTGCCACTTTTCGTACTCTGCGCCAACGGCCAGAACGCCGACGGGTTGCACCAAAACACGCTTGTGCCCAACGTGGCGTGCCTGCAGTGGGTCGAGTGCTGCGACTGGTACAGCTTTGTCGGCGTCCTCATGGGCATTGCGACGCAGAACCTCGAAGAAGTGTTTCCAATCGCACTCGCGCGGCCGATCTGGAAGCTCCTCGTCGGCGAGCAACTGCGACCCGACGACCTCCCGAGCTTTGATGCGGCGGCGGCGCGCACGCTTACCTTTCTGCGGGACCCGAGCATGGACCAAGACACGTTTGACGCCGCGTTCCCGGACCTCACGTTTACGTGTCTTTTGAACGACGCTGTCGAAGTCGAGATTGTGCCCAACGGCCGACGTCGCCGCGTCGGCTTTGGTGACCGGCTGGCCTATGCGTCGGCGCTCGAGCAGTACAAGCTGCACCAATTTGACGACGCCGTCGCGTACATTGCACGTGGTCTCAAGTCGATCGTGCACGCCGAGCTGCTTGCGATCTTTACGTGGAAAGAACTCGAGGTACGTGGTTCGATCCTCGATGATGGTAAATATGTGTTTTAATGCACCAAAATGGTAGCTCCTCGTGTGCGGTCGGCCAACGCTCAACATGGAGCTGCTCAAGAAGAAGACCGAGTACTCGCCCGACATGGACAGCCACGACACGCTCGTGCTTCGCTTTTGGCGCACGCTGGCATCCTTTACGCCCGACGAGCAGCAACAGTTGTACGCGCTGAGAGAGAAATCGGGCCGAGGAGTCTCATGGATGATGGATGTAGCCTGCAGTTTGTGTGGGGGCGGTCCCGCCTTCCGTTCAGCGAAGTCGACTTTGGCACGTACACGTTCAAGCTCGTGCGACACATGAGCGGTGGCAACCCGGACGAGTACCTCCCGGTGGCGCACACGTGCTTCTTCCAGGTAGACTGGCGTCTCTTCCTCCATATCCCTCGACGTCTGTTTGTAGCTCGAGCTGCCCAACTACTCGACCGATGAGATTATGCGGACCAAGCTGCTGTACGCCATGACGCACTGCACGTCGATCGTCGACGAGGAGCAAGCGGCGCAGCAGCGGGACATTGCGCTCTGGGACTCGTAGCCTCTCTATACACATCCATACATGTATTATCGTATCGAGTTAGTCGGCGCTGATGGAGATGCCGCCGTCGGGCTGGCGCTTGCCGCAGAGACCAAAGAACTTCATGCACGGCAGATCGTAGTAGTACTTCTTCACGGGGTCGTGCAGCGTGTCGTACGCGGCTTGCAGCTTTTCGTACTTTTGCGGCTCGGTCACATTGTTGTAGCGCAGGACGCGGATGTGGTAGGCGTGTTCGATCTCGTCGCTGCTGGCGCCTTTGACGAGCCCGAGCTTGGCGTACATGTCCTTTCCACGCCACATGGCCGCTTCGTACACGTCCAAGTGCGACCGCAGCGCGCCGCCAATGATGTCTACGCATATCATGACACTATTCTCCACTACACGGGGCGTACCAGGGCAAGTTGCCCACGTCGACATGTACTTGGCGCAATACGCTGTCGCACGGACTTGAACGTAGTGTTCGCAGCGCTTTTGGCCAGGATAGAGCTCGGTGCAGACCCAGTCGTCCTCCGGCGGCACGTACTCGATCTTGTGGGGCAAGCCCGCATACGTGGCTTGGAGGCTGAAGAGAATGCGCCGAGGCCGAAGACGAGCGCACGGCACGTGGGTGCACGTGAGGTTGAGCAGCGTTTCGTTGATCGGCGCCGTCTGGAAGAGATCGTGCTTGTCGAGAAACGCGTAGACAACGTCGACGGGCTCTTGGTCTTCAAAGACATCGAGGTCGCCGAGCTTCTCGGTCGCGGTCTCCATGACGGGCAAGTGGAACACGCGCGCTTCGGCCCGCGTGCAGTTGAGGAGCGGCATCGCGGCGCGTTCGAGGCGGCAGAGCGCGTGGAGCCACTCTTGGCGCTCGAAGAAAGTCCAGTTGCGCAGATTCCCATACCAATACACGACGTCGGCCGGCTCGTCGTCGCCGTAGAATGGAACGTGCTCCCCATTGATGGGCGCCACGTACACCAGACTCCGCTCCCGTGTGCACGGAACGTTCAAGGCATTGCAAATCCCATCCTTGATCGACGCTTGCTCCTGCGCGCCGAGGTTGTGCTGCACACCAAACCGGTAGACAGCATCCACCGGCTCGTCCCCTAACGATATATATTCGTTCCAGTAGGGGTAGGGTAGGGGTAGGGTCGGACCTTCGAGCACGTCCACGTAGCCGAGGGGCTTAGGGTCCGACATGTTCATTTTGATGGGGATCGATGCGACCAGCGGCGCCCAGCGCGTGCACGTGACGTTGACGGACGCATGCAGGTCGTGACAGACGCGGTTGAGCAAGTCGTCGCGAAAGCTGGGCGGTAGGTTGTGGGTGGCAGCAAATGCAAAGACGTTGTCGGCCGCCTCGTCGCCGTCCAGTACAACGACCGATCCAACTGCATTGCCTACATTACGACGTAGGCTCGTCATCAACGGCCGCCGATGACGCACCGTGGTCGTCCGTGACGAGGCGGTCGTACAGCTTGGCGCGGCCCCGCGTGCATGTGATCGGCGGGCGGTTGCAGAGTGCGTCAAAGAGACCATGGCGCATCGGCATCGTCAGGTTGTAGCGGCGTCCGAGGTCAAAGATAACGTCGGCGACCTCGTCACCGTCATAGAGCGTCACGGCAATGGACGGACCGTCCGCATCAAACTGCACCGGCGCCGAGAAGACGAGGACACGGTCTCGGGTGCAATATGGCGAAACGAGAGGCTCGGCGCACACGGTCTGAAGGAGCGACCTAGCGAGCAGCATGCGACTTTACTTGTTGTGGAGGTAGTCCAACGTACAGCTGCAGGTCGCGGCCGAGTGGCGGGCGCATGGCGGAAATGACATCAATGGGTTCTTGTCCGTAGAAGATGTCGAGAACACCGTGGTCGACGCTATCAGGACCTTCAATGTGGCGGTGAAAGAGCCGTGGAATCGTGCGGTCGCAGGCCAAGCGACTGCACACGTAGCCAAGCACTTGCTGCAGCATGCTCTCGAGGCTGCTTCGCTCGGGAAACCACGGCTGGAGGTATGCAAACACCGCGTCCGCAGGTGCCTCATCGTCATAGATGGTAAGCACGCCAAGGGACGATCCGTGGTCACCCGTAAAACCTTGCTGCAGGGCCACAGCTCGGTGTCGCGCGCATCTCTAGTGCATGCAATTTGGACAAGTTGTCTCGCTAGTATTCGGAAAGGCCGTACCACGGACGCTTGGGCACAGATCGACGCAATCATGTACCGTTGAAAGTCGGCACCGAGCGCGTGCTGGCGACAGAACGCGGCGATCGCGTCCGCGGGCTCGTCGCCGTCGAGGAGCTCAAACTGCCCGATGGCAGCCCCGTTGTCGCCCGTGATCATGGCCGAAAACGCGATCGGTGCTGCCCGAGTGCAAGGCAGCGCACTGCAAAAGGCTTCGAGCGCCGTGTGCTGGAACGCCATCGAGAGGTTGTGCTCGTGGCGAAAGGCTGCGATGGCGTCGACCGGCTCGACACCGCGTGGGATCGAGACGCTAAATATCTTGCCATGGAGCTCAAAGCGTCTCGTGACCGTCGTCTCGAGCGCATGGACGATAAGTAGGAATAGGAATGGGAGGACGGGCGACGGAAGGCGCGTTCGCATGGCGCAGGAAAACTGTATCTTTAAAGTCGCTCCAAGATATTCGAGTTTGACGTTTCGAAATTAGGGACTGGAGCTCGCGCGTGTACAGTAGTGCTGCATGCTGCCGACTCCGCTCGTGCTGCTCGCGATCTCGAGCTCCATCTCGGTCGTCGCCTGCGTGAGCATGATGGTGTGCTTTGTACTCTTTGAAGAGTCGCGCCGGTGCGGCCGCCGCATCCTCTTCTACCTCCACGCCACCGACTTCGTCGGCGCCGTGCTGTGGCTATGGACGCTCCTGCCCGAAATTGCGTCGCCGTCGACGCCCATCACGTCGACGCCGTGGACGTGCTATGTTCAGGTGCACGCAGGATCCAAGTCAGGACCTTCGGCAACGACGTATCGTTCTTTGTAGGGCTATGGACTTCAGTTTTGCGTGCTTTCGTCGTACCTCTGGACCACCTGCTTTGCCTTTCACTTGTACCAGATCCTCGTCAAGGCCAACAAGACGCCCGAGGTATTGCGAAATCTTCTTCGACGAGCGTTTACTCAACGCTGCTTGGGACTAGATGTACGAGTGGCGCTACGTGCTGCTGGCGTGGGGGATCCCGCTCCTCGTACGACAGTCTTTCTATCATCTTCTTTCTTACGAATCTTGTAGATTGTCCTCATGTTTGGAATCCAGCAACTCTGTGGGTTTGAGCTCATCGGGTTTGGCGGACTGCCGTGGTATTTCTTCATTCATTTCCAGTCGTATTGGAACACGCGGTTTAGGTGCTGGGTTCGCTCGTGGAGCGACAACCAGTGGGTCCTCGACGGCTACGTGCTTCAAATGCTCTTCTTCTACGGCCCGCTCACCGTCGCGTTGGCGGTCAACACGGCGCTCTTCGTCACGGTTGCTACGAAGCTGGTGCGAGGCGAGAGACGACGACAAGTGGTGAAGTCGCGCGATAGGGGCGGTCGACCGTCATGTCAACGGGCATGGAAGACAAGATTCGCCGGCGCATGATGGCCTACATCGGGGTACGCATCGTCGCGCAGTCGGATATTCAAAAATTGGCGCTAGATTTATGTCCTCACGTGTGCGTGGGGCGGCCTTGGACGGACGTTCCAAGTACGCTGGCGAGAACCATCCGTTTTGTCAACAAGGTGTACTAGGTGATTTCGCCCCGCCACGAAATCAGCCCCGTCTTCTTGGCGCTGACTGCGTTCTTCGCACCACTGCAGGTGCTCAGTAGTACCGTGAATGTCATTTCAACACGTCGCGTAGGGTGCGCTCAACTGCGTCACGTACGGCCTCAACAAGCTGGTGCGATTATATCCTGCACACGCGAGCAGAAAGTACCACCTCTGTGTGATTCTAGCTGCGCGAACGCTTCATGGCGGCCATTCGGCAGTGGTAGGCGCTCCTCGTAGCCTCCTCCAGTTTATCAATCGTACTGTTGCGTAGGCGACAACGCAGCGGGGCCAAAGGCGCTGCTGGTCTGCCCGAGAAGCGCACACTGGTTCACAGTCCCAAGCGCGTCCGAAGAACGTGATCTGTCGTAGCTGATGGGGATCGGCGTCCAGAATGCGTCGTTTCTGTGGGCGTTGGTGTCCTCGTCGAGTTGAAAGCACTGGCGACATCAGCGCACGGAGCTTGTTGTGCTTTGTCAATGAAGTTTGTTCTAGTCGTGGACTTCGAGTCGTCGCACTCGTCGCTGGCCTCCTGGTCACTCCGAGCAGCCTGGACTGTAGATGGATGGTCTATGTACCTCTATGACCTCGTCCTCGCGACGCGGCGAGTGCAGCTGTACCAAGGACCTTTCGCATCGACCGTGCGGCGCACTACGAGCATGCTGGAGTTGAGCCGGTCGTGGCCATTATTGTCTGGGCGCGATTTTGCGAGCCATTTTGTGCCATTCGAACCATTTTTGCGTCGACACAAAAAAGTGACTCACACCGCGCCTGTCGCAAATAACCAGCCGCCACCGGATTGACTGTCCTTTTGTATACGTTGGTAAATGCAACGTCGGTGGCGCGGTTGTGAGATTACCCTTTACGCTGCAGCAGTAGCGTAGTACTACACAACACGATGAGCGCGCTCCTGCCGAGCACGACCTACTGCTACGCGTCGCGGGGCCCGGCGTCGGCGTCTCCGCTGGCGGCTTCGGCACTCGGCAGCCTTGG